AAATTTGATTTCTGTTTGTAAATTGTTGGCAATTTTGCCTGAATAATGTTTTGTTTTGGAGCGAAACCGAGAAAAAAAATGACAAATTTGCTGAGTTAATTGTTGGTTCAGACAGTCTTAAAAATAATTTTTCGGAACCATTGGACAACGTTTTTTTTTCCGGCTCTGTTGTACTTAGCCACTGTTCAACTGTCCCAATTAGACTTACCGTAATGGTATTTCTACTAGAGCTAAGAAAACCGATAGTCACCTTAAAAAAATGTCAATTATGTTGAAAGTTCGGGAACTTCAGCTCGAAACAATCACCCTAAAATATCACCCCAAAAAGAACACTAAAATGTACCTACTTCCAGTTAATTTCAAGGAAACCCTAAATAAATTACATCAGGTCAGTAACTTAAAAGTATACTTTTTCCGAAGGCTACGAAATAAATTTGCAGACGATTTTTTGAAATTATTTTCGAAATTAATATTTTAGGATAAAGTACATTTTGAGGGATTTGTATGTTCTCAACAAAATTCGAATCAAGGTACAGAGTCAAGATATGAATCTCAACTAGCAAAGATGAAACAAAAACTTTAACAATTTTAGATTAAAATTTCATTTATAAAAATCAATCCGCGTCTGTTCTTTCCGTCTCTCAAATCTAGTGAATATAGGCTCTGTAGGCTACAGGCTTAGAAGATTGAAGGATTGCAGCTTGTAGAGAGATTTGAAAATGACAGCTTCAAGATGTTTCCACAAAAAAAAACGCGAAAACCCAATTAACTTGTTACAAAAGAAGTTCCTTTATATACTTTTAATAATCATTTAAAAAAATATATTTTCATGATTTTATTTCGAAAAATTTCTGTTGAAATGTTTTACAATATTTGTCAGCTTACATAATTCTCATATGCAAGGACATTAGAAACCCGATAGGCTTAGCCAAGTGATGCCTTAACTGAGCACTACATTTCCGAACCCTAAGATACTAATAAGTTTCACCTATGAGAAACTATAGTTCGTCCAATTCATACAACCCACTTTTTGGAAGAAAATAACTATCAATTTTTGTTTTACTTGTGATGTATAGATTACGAAAATCATGGATTTTTTTTTCTTGACTATCATTAAGATTGTTCACTCAATCAGCAAAATCTGCAAAAGTCTTTGAAAAAAACAAGGTTTCTAATCCGGACACATTTTTTTCAGGACTATTGCCGGTGAAAGTATACGTTGGTTGGAATTTTTGTGACTTTTTGATGTTTCTTTATCTCAATCAATGTGTCCAACCTTAAATTTTTCAGAAAGTCTTTTCTCAAATCAAACGTAAAAACTCAGGTAATGTTTTGAATAGCTCGTATATGTGCTACTCTTTCCTTGAGCAGATTTTATCGGTTTCTCTAATTTATGTGACGGACTGATATCTCCGTTGTTTTCAACAAAATAATTTCCTTTCATTTTAATTTTTTGAATATTGTTTTATTAGCTGTGCCATACCCTACAACCCCATATTGCAGTATTGGCAGAAAATGATTAAAATAGCTTTTAATTTATTGTACTGCTGTTAGTCATTAGTTCGCGCAATTTTTGATGAGAAGGTCAAAATAAAATTTAACATCTAATTTTGCGTCCATGTGAACTTTTAACGATAAAATCAAAATGAGATTTGAAATCTAGTTTTACTTCCATGTGAATGCCCAAATATTTAGTGTAGAGGTTTTTTTCGAAGACCACTAGTTCCTTCTTCTTTTTTCATCTGCTCCTATAAAAGTTTATTTTTTTGGTTTTGTAAAATTTAAAACTAGTTTGCGGTTTTTCAGCCAATTCACTTTTTTTGTTGAATCCTAATTGTATTGCTGTCAGTTTTTTTTTGCGTCACGGCTGTATCATCAAAGTACAAAAATGTGTTCATTGAGTTCGTAATTGTTGGTAAAAACTTCATCAAAAAATTGAAAAGTAGTTGCCCGAGGATTGACCCCTGTTGAAATCCACAGTGAAAAAACTTTAGTTTTGAAGTTTGAGATCATATGTCGACTAATTGTTATCTAAACTTCAATAATAATATCAACAATGCTTTAATGGGCTTTTAATAGAAGTTTATTAGGTGATACTTACCTCTAAATTTATGGATTTTTCCTGATTCCGCTTTTATGAATTGGTGTTATTATGAGCAATTTAAGACAGTCAGGAAAAAAACTTTACTCTAGTCATTCAATAATTAGTTTTGTCAGAGTATAGTTTATTGCCATTTCTACCTTTTTTATTGCAAATGTATTCAAGCCAAAAAAACGACAACTCTAATTTGTATAAACTTTATAGAAAATCGAGGCAGTTAGCTTTTCCTAGCTTTTAGAAGAGAAAACTTCAAAAGAATTGTTTCTGTAGACTTTTTGAGTTGTTATACTTTTCTCAACCACTTGAGGTCCTAGATTGGCAAAAAACTGGTGTAAGTTTTCAATTTTTTCGTGGCTTAGGTTAAAAGATATTTTTGCCTTGACCCGATAATTGTTCCAAACGATTTAAAAAAGCTCTTGTGTTATATTTTGCCTCATTTTCGTTTCCCGGCAATCAGTTTTTGTGATGCAGGTCTAGTTGAGATGGTCACTTCTTTATCTAATACTATGTAATTAAGTTTTCGTGTTTTGATTTTTTACATATTCAGTTTTTTTTTTCGTTGTTTGTAGTTTTAGTTGGGACAAAACTATTTATGTTTCTTGCCTTTATCTGATGAATTAACTGAAAAAGTCTCAATAAAATTTAAGTTTTTAATTTTTTTGTCGTGCTTTTGTTATTTATGCACAACTTTAAATTTCATTTTCTCGGAAATTTTCCGGTCTTCTATCGTTTTGCTTTCTATCAATGTTTGTATCTTTTTGATTGAGGTTTTATCAGGTTTGAAACTTGATTTACTACAATTGCTAAATAGTCACCGAGAAAACGTAAGATTGTATGATTTTAACGAAATCCAATACTTAACAAAGAAATTTTTGTCAATTGATGTTTGTTTCTAAATTTTTTATTCAAGGGCGTGGTTTCTTCGCTTGATCTGGCAAAACTTTTTTGAAAACAAAACCACTTGTTGTCAATTACAAACCGTACTAAAAAATATCGACTCGCGAAGACCAAGTATTTTACGATGCTACATTTACTGGAGTCAGTTTACTACTGGCTAAACTGTTTTTTTAATCCAAACAAGGCCACCCTTGAAATCATTTAGATTGTTTTAAAATGTTACAGATACACTGATTGAGTCTCAAAGTACACTCAAAGTAAGCATACATAGTAACTAAAAATTTTAAACTCAACATAAGCATACATAGTAACTGAAAAAATTGACAAGAGCTGTAATTTTGTAAAAAGAAAAGAGGTTACAAATGAATCCAGAAAAGTTGTTCCCTATTTTGATATAATTTTGCAAAGATAAACTAGTCACTCAAACTAGTTATTTGAATTCGTATTCTTACTTTAAGCTTAAGAAATCAAAAATTTTCATGTGTATTGAGTCGAAAAATCTTAAAATTCAATTTGAATAATATTTTTATGATGAGATTTCCAAAACAAAACCTTAAAAAACTTTCTATTTTTCAGGCAAGGTTTTGAAAAAAAAGGATTTCTTTTTTTGGCACAAACTTTCATTATAGTTGTTTTTTCGAAGATTCATTTTTATATCAGGATTTTACTGCCCATAATGTTTAAAGGTCTGCAAGCAAAAAAAATAGGGAAAAAAGAAAAAATGGCTGGTTTAAATATCAAATCAGTTTTGCGCTTGAAGGTGAAAAAAGTTTTTGTGCTGATTTCAAGATTTCAATTTGAAGACCTTTTAGCCTCACAGTCAGGACAATTTTAATCATGCAGTTTCCAGGAACGTAAAACTGTTATATCTTTACTGCGCCTAAAATTGTTCACCGTTTTTTCGTTGCGATCCGCCGACAATTAGGTCAAAACAACAGAAAGATAAGTTTTATTATACTTTCACTTGTTTAACGAAATTATTTTGTATTCGTATGACTACCATTTGCCCAAAAACTTATCATATGGAATTGTAAGACAAGCCTTTTCAGTCTAATCTGGTAAATATCGAAATAAAAGTTTTTTCTAAGCTTTTAACTTCAAAATGAACTGTGGTCGGAGCATTGAGCTAAAATCTTACAAAAAACTTGGCTCTACTTTTACATTTTTTTATATTTTCAAAGCTCTCAAAGTTACTACATGATTAAAGCGTATCTATTAATGACTGAAATAAACCTGTGTGAACTTATATTAAACTTTCAAAAGTTAACAAATTTCTTTTTAAAACCATTAATTTGTAGAAAACCTTTCACATTAAAATCATCTTTGATCGGAGCAATCTATGCCTTTCTTCTTTGCTACTAATATTATCATCACTGCAATCAAAAAACATCAGATATTATTTCGTTGCTCGTGTGTAATGTCTATCAGAAGTGTTCATCCATGCTGCTTGTAGAAAATTTCTTCTGCAAATTCTTTTTTCCGATTAATTCCGGTGAATCGGTTTAATTAATCGCCGAAAATGGGGGCCCAGGTGTTGGTTGAAATTGGATTTTTGTTTATATTTGCATTTTCCTCTTCTTTTGATTGTCATTAGTTCATTTTAATTCCACCTGTGGGCACTTTCTAATTTAAGTATACTCGCTACATGCACTTGTGAGTTGGAATATATTTCAACAGGGTCAAAAGAGTCTTTTTTACTGGATTCGCTTAAATTGATGAATTAACTATTGCGACTCAATTTTTACACTTCCCAATTGCCTTTAATTAGTAAATTATACACCAATTAACAACAGTCAATTTTTGTAATTCATAATTTTTTCTCATATTAATTTACAATTTTTACAATTTATTTAAAAAAGGACTTTAAAATCTGTTTCTTCGGATTGTTTTTCGTTTTTTAAATTAGATTTGGCTTCAGGGTTCTTTCGACACCAAAGGATTAATAAAGCTGTCAGTTATTGTAAACATTCAATCTACCATCGTGTTTTACAATAATAAACTATCCAGTTATTTCAGTCCCCGTATTATAAGCAAGTTCATAACCCAAGTTAGTCTTCCGTATTAAGTTAGATTTTAGAGTAGCTCCTGTTAGGTTGAACGGATTGTTAATCCTAAAATTAATCTAGTTATCTAGTATTCAATTACAAGTTTACTAATTGGTAATAATAGTGAATTAGTACTGCCATCTTGTTTATTCATTCAGCTTAAGTGTACATTAAAGTATTTAATCGTGTATAATTTACATTAATAAAATGAATATTGAAAAAGAGCCGATTGTGTGTCTAAAAGATATAGCCAATGAAAGAGCTTGATCTGACAGCGAATCAAATCGCTCAGAGCAACTTTGCCTCTGGTTCAAACGTAACATCAAATTATTTATGATCTCTGCGCGAAATCAACCAGCAGAAAAAAATCTTCGATAATTGAAAAACAAAATATTTCAACCGGAAAATATTTTTTGTTTAGAAAATTTGAATTCTTGCCAATATTTTTCCAGATCCAACTCTAACTGAAGAAAAAATTTTGAAAAATACCAGTTTCTGAATTCAAATTAAATCCGCACTCTTCAACCCCAATTCAGTAGTTTTGCCCGAAGCATCCGAAAAAGTTGGAGAAAAAAGAGGGAATTAATCCTACTTGCTTTCTTTCCTGACATTCCGTCTCCATTTTATTACTCGAAGCTAAAATCGAGAATTAAACTCTGAATTTCGAGATAAAAGCCATTTTTTCACTACCTTCACATTTATAACTTCCAAGCCTAGCAGCAAGGAAAATCAGAGCAGCAGCGGTTTTTATCCCGAGTAAAGCTAGTTAGATATAACTTTACAACCACATCTAGTTTTGCTAGTTATAAATTCTAGTTCAAAAACCCCTCGGCTCAATTGGGAAGCTCATCTTTTTTGAATTACAACTGCGCGATATTTCGGCGCCAATTCGCCCCAAGTTAGTCTGCGCAGACTAGGCAGTTGCAGCTATAAAACTAATACCCAAGAAGACATCTAGAATATCCCCCCACAAACAGCACGTCTCCAAATACATCACCACTGCCACACTATAGCCCGCAACCACGTATAACAGCGCCACAACATCCCGCCGCCACCGCCACGCCATCGCCTCTGGTTTCGCTTGCTTGTTCTGCTTTCTTGTCGGTTATAAACAGTTATTAACTAGTCTAACTGCTACTGTGGATAAATAGAATGCCTGGCGGAACTTTCGGATTACTTGACTCGATGCAAGAGGTAAGAAACAGAGGGGGAAAACAGAAGTGAAAGCTAGTTTTATTTGAAGGTAGTTGCTCGCAGGTTTATAGAACTGTGACACATATAAGGCACAGATCTCATTTGAATTATATCATTCCACCACCCTGTCCCAACTCCAAGCCCCCCAAGCTAGAACTCTTTTTTTTCTACACCTTTTCATCTGCTCAACTTTTCCACCTTCTGTTCTGCCGATTCTCATACAGGATAAACTCAGTCTAGAATATAAAAGTGACTTCTTGATTCTTAGCTCCATGTTACACGCCATGTTGCAAACTTAATAAGTGTTCGCATAATTTATGCATTTACATCTGGCAGACAGAAATAACTTCCGGGTATATTCGAAATTTAGTTTGAAAATTAGTTGTAAAATCAGCTCTATTGTTGGCATCAGGTAAGAACAGTTTGTATTCCTTCTTCCAATATTTTGAACTTTGAGACAAGTTTCCAAAAATTTTTACCGAAAATCCAAACAAAAAATGGGCGAAAAAAAACAATTACTGACAATTTCAATAAACATAACTGCATAATTTGAATTTTGCGCATTGTAACTGCCAGTAGCTGTTTGTTTTTTCCCACTTTTTAGTTGCTTGAAATCTCAGGCTTTCTGAGAAAGTTTTCGCGGGTTCCGAGGTAAAAAATGGATGAATTAGTCTATTGGTGTTACAGATGAAGCTTTTTCAAAGATCGCTCAATCAACACTTCATAATCAAACTTGTTCAAAATCATTTGAAAAAAATGTTGCGATGAAAAAATTTCCGCTTATGCCATATAAAATTATTTTCAGAAGTTGACAAAATTGATTTTTTTTGCAGGACAGAGTTGACTTTGCCCACAGAAATGCCCTCTCTCAACTCACTAATGGAAATTCAGCCCCCTTTGCTGGTCGACTGGGGGGCAACACCGGGGGAGCATCGGCTGCCGATTTCCAACCACCCTACTTCCCGCCCCCTTACAACCTGGCAGCACAACAGACGGCCGCTGACTTCTCCCACCACATGGCCAATTCGGCCGGAGTTGACCCCTACGCGGCCCACCTGAACCACCTTCATCAGCAGAACCAGTGGGGTCAAAGGTCAATGGGCAATGACCCCTTCCACATGCACCAGAGCATGGCAGCCCAGTTTGGCCCGAGTGCGGCTGCCATGCGTCGTCCGGACCTGTTCGGAATGCACGCGAACGTGGCAGTGTCCGGGGCAGTGTCGGGAGGGGGTGCTCATCACATCAGTCCAGATGCAGCCAGCGATCTCTTCCTCCACTCCGCAGTACAAGCCGGATTCCACTCAGTCGACGACGCACAGGTGAGACAGAGTTCAAAAGTTTTTGATCCTCGTTGCTTGAGGGTGAAGCAATGTCACCCAGCCCAGAAAAACAACCAATAAACTGCATCATAGTCTTAATCAGAGGCATAGCAGCGGTTCGCCGTGATGAACTAGCTTCACAGCTCGTATGTTGGTCCCTTCTCTTGTAGATGGATGATTTTAACTAAATCGTTAAGAATGAAACACACATTTTACTCGATTGAATATTCTCACCAAGAGACCCGAAAACGAAGTATGTCAATGTGCTATAACCCACTCAACCCTTTTTTTTGTATTTTCAGTTTTTGAATCTTGAATATTTTTCAGTTTTTTGAATCCCGAAAAAAATTGAATCTTGAGTGACACATTTTTGTTTCAAAAGTTCTGCAAGTTCTTCCAAAACTTTCAAATCGTTATTTCCCTGAACTCATATAGTTTTTGCAATGGGATACAACAATATTTGCAACCACCCTTGCAAGGTATCTAATAAGTTAACGTATGGGTTGACAAGTGCTACGGGGGAATGTGTCCCCACCTAGAGGCCAGTGCTGTCACCCCCTGTCATCAAAGGCCACATCCCCACTACCTCAATTGACACACTCTCTCTCTCTCTCTCTCTCTCTATCTCTCTCTCTCTGTCTCGTGTGTGCCTTCTCTCACATACACACATTCCAACCTAATTAACCCTTAACTCTTGAAACCATTGAAACATCTTGTGTTCACACAAGCAAAGCGCTGCTATAATCATAGTAGTGTCATTTTTTCTTTGTCTAAAAATCAAGGTTTTTTTGTTAATTATTTTTGTTGGCATAATTTTTCGATTTTTTAATTTAAAATTTGCATCTGTTTCTGATCACAAAGGGCAAGTAGCTATGTTCTGAGTTTTTTTCAGCAGTTTGTATAAATGAAACGTTCTCGCATTTTGATCAAAAGTTATGTTATCTTTTTTTCTTGAGCTAAAAATCAGGTTTCTTACATCACAGTTAATTCTTCGGAAAGTTTTCTCAGTTTTGCAAGAAAAATAACTCTACTCGTACTACGTACTACTTTGCTGCTAGGGAAGTTGTAAAGAAGAGTTTGCTTTGAGTCTGCTTTTTTTTTTAGTTAACCAGGCAGAGGCCTAACACGAAAAAAAAATTATTTAAGGTTAACTAAGCTATGGCGATCTTACAAGAGCTCACCTTGTAAATTGCAGCGCTTGGGCGGTTTGACCCCGTTATCATATGATTGCTGGGCACCATCATTACAGATGCGCCCGCCACAACGCCACAAAGTTTCTATCCATTTCGCTATAAAAAGTTTCACGCTAGATTATGCGTAAAATTGTTTTTTTTGTTATAAAGATAATTATGAGGTTATTTATCATAGCCATAGCGCTGGTTTCAAAATGAAATTTATAGACCAAATGTAAATTTGAGCTCAAAAAGCGATTCCAATGCAATGTTTTTGGATAAGTTTGACACATAATAATCGCATTTAAATTACTTTCAAACACCGCGTTAAAATTTCTGTTTTATCCAAGTCAAAATAATGTTTTCATTTTTGTATGCATCAGGTAGACATCTTGATGATTACCGTGAACTTCGATATTTAAAAAAGCAATAGGAAAAAACGAATTACGATGTTTGTTTTCGTCGCCATTTATGGCCAAGGGATGATTTAGGAGGGAGGGGAAGGGAGGAGGGGGCAACGGTTGGGGATCCCAATTAAGATTGTTATAAGTTCAAGTTGCAGTATCACTTCAAACTATTATCGGTATGTAAGCATAGTCTTTGAAGAAAAATTGGAATAAAAAACAATAATCTAGATTGAAACCGTGAAATAACACTGCATAACTAATAAACCCGGATCTGACCTTGACCAGCCAAAAGGTACAATTTTGGTCGGTTTTATCTGACGACCTTCTTTTCTAATCAACTAACCATAGAGTTTTTCTAAGCGCACCTTTAGCGCCAATACAAACTTCAATTGAGGGGGAACGCGGGCCAAAGAAACGCTTTAATACATCTTTTTCCGAGAAAACGTTAGATACACCTCAAGATAAACTCGTAGATTGCCTTTGTCTGCGCATATTTCTCTCCGTCAAAATACATTGTTTTTAACATACTTTTTATTTCATAAGAATGGTTCAGAATGAAATTAAAGTTGACAACACGAAGTTTTTTTTCCAGAGTAAACTACCTAGTGTTGTTAGTTTATATCCGAGAGTGAATTAAATTTTTCTGATTGAAAAAGAATTGCAATCAAAAGACGGTGTTAACATCATAAGTCTCCAATCCAAATCTCTCTCGGCCATCGGGGGCTGTGTTCTGTCTAATTTACGATCCATCTCCCCACAATATCCGTGTAATCCCCCAAAACAACAACAAATAGCATCCCGCTACTCCATAATCGGGGCTATAAATTTCCCCCTGGCCGCAATTAAAGTTTAAACCATCCCAATCCCAACATTAACCTGTCTGTTATTCCATGTTATTCCATCTTTTGTTCACTCTCTTCTTTCAAAAAGACCTGACTTCTTTTTTCATTCACTCTAAAAAAAAACTCGGTTAAATCTGCTCTGAAATGTAATTTAATTCACGTCTCTTAAAATGTTCAGACTGTGAATCAATTGCTGGTTTACAACTGCCAACTTAAACCACAACTGGCAAAAGGAGCTATAAAAAGACCCCGTTTAAATCACGCTAACCCGATTCGCCCGATCATAAATCGAACCTGAATCACTAAGATTGTTCATTTACACTATCCTTGTCTAATAGAAAAACTTGAGATTCCATGTTTTAATTCAAGAGGCAAAAAACCTCAACAAAAATATATGAAACTGTATTTTTTTAAATAAAAAACTTTCAGATTATTTTTTGCGAAAATATCCAGTTCGGATATGTTAACTTTATCATTTAATGAGAAATTTTGCTTTCTTAATTAATTAACCGCCTATCTTTGTGGGAACAGAGAAGAGAAAATGAACCCGGGCGCCGATAATTTTTCAGTTGGACGTTTTTTCTTCTCTACTTTTTCCTAATGAACCGCTTTTTCCATACATTCCTTTCACAAATTTCAACCGCCTGGGGCGAATTAGCGGAACACAAAAGTAAAATAATGCTCAAATATATGATCACTATCTTTCAAAGTTGGGGAAAATAACGGAGAACAATTTATTTGAAATTTCACAAGGAAAAGATAAAAAGAAATAGAAAATTATTAGTTTTCATTGTGTTTCCCATTGTAGCTTCGATTTGTGTAATCTTGTATCGTACTGGGCGTTGTAAGAAATACAATCTGCTCGTTATTATTTTTTAACAAATAACTGATGTTCATGCCATTATTTTGGTAAACAAATACTTTTTCCGAAATTGGAATCAAAATTGATTCTATGAATGATTCCATTGAAGATATCATGACAATCGGAAATTGTTAAACCCTTCCATATCTCCGCGAGTTAAATACGGAAGGCTTAGCGATTCAAACCTTTGATTTCTGGTTAATTACTGACAAAATGAGAATACTTTGTTTGTTTCAGAATGGCCTTCTTGCTGACGAAATGAACAACTTCCTCTCAAATGACCCAGGAAACGTCATTCGAAAAGGTGAGATCCAAATTCAAGTTCACTGGTCTGATGTTCGATTCCCGCATGTGTCGGGTTCTGGTATAAAGTTATGATTTTGATTTGGACCAAAGTGTCAACTGATCAAAATTTCGCTACAAAATCTTTGCGAAAAGTTGGATTGCCAGACGTTCTGGAGACTAAATCAAATGAATTCAGTGGCGGGTATCGGGCTTTCAAGAGGAGGGAAGAGAAAAGGATTATGGAAGTTTTTCAAATATTTTTTCAAAATTTTTCGCCCACTTTTCAAGTTAACCAAGCCAGGGGCGGATTTAGGGGGGGGGGGGGCGGACGCCCCCCCCCCTCAGGGATTTGACCCCCTGCCGACCCAAAGGGTCCCCCCTTTGATTCTTTTTCAGAAATCCATTTTTGGCCGACCGACCCTAAAATTTTTCTAAAGGCGCCTTCGGCGCCAATAGATGCTATTTTTGAGGGGGAGCGCGCGCCAAAAAAACGCATTTTTTTGTCAAAATTTTTCAAAAAGTGCCCAAAAACGGCTTTTTTGACTGTTTTTTCAAAAATTTGCCTGCGGCGCACAAAATTTTGCCAAAATAAGGGCAAAACAGTGCTTTAGGAGAGCGCGAAAAATAAAAATCAATTTGGTCGACCTAAAAAAAAAAAAAAGGTCGTCAAAATTTTTTGAAAATCCGCCCCCCCCCCCCCTCGAGAAAATCCTAGATCCGCCAGTGAACCAAGCTGATTTCAAAACAGTAGAAAACATTTAAGCGTCAGCGGCAAGTTTTTTTCTTTGAGAAGCAATCACGTGGGTTTTTTTTCGGTGGGAAACCCTTTGGGTTCTCATGTTGTCGACTTTCTGAGAGAATGGTGAGGTGAATAACCCCTACCTTCTTACATGCGTCTGTATCAATTGCAAAAAATTGATTTGATGAAATTTTTGTTGAATGTTCGAAAAAATAGTTCTCATTTTTCATTAAGTTTGAAATGCCCGAGGTTTAAAATTACCGAGCACAAGTCAAGTCGCACGCTTAGCAGTTTTGGTGCAACTTTTTGATAGTCAAGGTGTTTTATTATCGTCTGTGCCTTAGGAGACTATTTAATCTTCAGTACACAGTCTTGAATGTGTAAAACCAGTCTGAATGTCTAAGCTGGGAGGCGTCTTTGTTTTCGCTTTTTGATTATTTTCTGCTTCTGAAGAAAAAGCCAGTGTATTTTAGCTGGCGTCATTTTAGCTTGCTTTTAATGTTTACCATTTTGGTCCTTGTTGGTTGGTAAGTTTGGTTATAATTGGATAATTGGTTAATGAAAATCAATCATGGTTCAAGCAATTAAAAGGGTGAGTTTTGTACAGGTAAGAGCGAAGTAATAGTAATAAAAACGGCTTAATCTCATGTTATAAGTTAGTACAAGCGCACTTGGTTATACATGACAAGACGGCGAAGAAAAAACAAAGATGGTTTAAAATCATTAATTTACAGACCAACAGTAGTCAAAAAGTGTATCCACTTGTACTATACTTATAAACTGGTTATAATACCATTACAGAGTCATTACATAAAAGTAAGCATCGTAGTCTAAACTTCTCTGTTTTGTTAATCGGCCCCTTAGAAAAACATATTTTCATAGCACCTGCAGTTAATACATAGGTGAATATTGGCTCCGCTGCTTAAGTATTTACCAATTATAACCAAGTAGATACATGAACAACTGCTCAAGAGTCCAATTCAAACTACATTCATTTGTTAATTCGCTTCGCCACTCTGCTCATCGACTTTTATTGTACTAACTGCAGATGTGTTTTCTACCCCCTCACCTGTATAAAATCACCTGCGGCGAAGCAACAAAACTTGACAGATTTTCCGCAGGCCACAATTTGACAAGCGAATTATCAAAAACCGTCGGTTTTTCAAAAACAAAATTGGTTTTTCATTTCGTTTATGTAGTTCGAATAAAGACTCAAAGTTTTACAGAGAAGTTTGAAGCATTCTTTAAAACAAAACAGACGAAGTGCATTCCAGGTGGAATATTTTGAAGAAAAAAATGGGGTTACATAAGCCGTAGGTGGGTGAGATTTTGCCCGGAAGCTCCAATAACGCGTGAAAAAATTAGCCCAACCGTTAAAAAAAGATTAACAGGGTGTGACTTGGGATTTGAAGGACCTTGTTAAGTAGCGTGTAAAACAAGCGAGATGTTCCAGTGGACTCTTCTTATCTTGATGTAATACTTGAGTCTGATTGGTTGAGAGGGTTTAGGGTGTTGAGCTGGGCTCAATTAGGGATATGGAAGGGAATGCTTGACAGGAGGTCGGGCGTGGACAAGTTGCCTGTCATTGATAGCGGGGGACGGGAAAAATTTGATTGTTTAGCACCCCCCAAAAATCGGACATGTATCTAGTTCTGTTAAATTGGCTGGGAAACAATTAGATGTCTAACTTATACACGAGTAATTGTCATGTTGACAATGGAGTCGACAATTCCTGTAAATTTGATACAATTAGAAACTCAGTCATTTTTGGGCGGTTTTGTTTTCCCTTTGATGTTATCTGAAAAGACAGACATTGATATGGAAGTGATATTATCAATGTGAAATAATTTCACGGATAATTATCCTGTCCATTTTTGCCTCAGTGAATTCGTTCAAACATAATTAACTTTTTCCAATGATGTGAACTCATTACATATGTTCTCAAAAAATATGAACAGAAATGTGATATAAAAATAAATATTAGAGATATTTTAAGTTGGCTATTTTTAATGCTCGCAACAGAAAAAAAAAGACGTCAATTTCATAATGAGATTAAAACACCGAGCTTGAATCCGTAGAAGCTATTCAATATCGCATGCAGATAAGGTTTTTATTGAAATTCTCAACGGGAACTGAATTTTCCCGCAATCTATCGAACTTTGGGTGATACTTCCCCGAACATCTTTAATAAAATCCGCCAATCTGATGAAAACTAAATCCAAGTAAATAACGATAGCCGGCTGTTGTGCAAGTAGCGCAGAAATTTCCGACCACCCAAATTTTAAAAAGAAAAAAGAAGAAAAAGAAATCAAATACACTCATCGAGAATACTTTGAAATTGAATGTATATTGGTTAGAAGTTTGCTCCTGTTGGAAACTTTCAGCCTAGACCCAACTGGAAATTTTTGTTTCAGGAAACTTCAATAATTGTGGGAGAGAAGTTTGCATGATATTTTCAAAAAGGAACTTTTTTTGAATATCTGGAGCTATGTAATTTAGACTATAACCTATAATTTAGACTATATTCTTCATTTCAGCTGAAAATGTTTCTTTTTGTTATCTTGCATAAAATGGTTATCCTGAAGTATGCTTGTCTTATAAGATCTTGCAAGATAAACTTTGGCTATCGACTAGGGTAGTCTTCAAATTCCAGATCAGCGATTTGGATCGTTGAATGTTTGTCAAATTATTATAAATTTAACCATTAGAATTATTGTTTCAAAACGAATTGAACTCGCTAATTTTTTGTTCTATCTTGAGTAAAGCAAAAGAAGCATAATGAGAAATTTTATTGATGTTTATGTTTCTTGTTTTGTTTCAGCCATGAAGGCCAAACACGACCCCTTCTTCAAAGACGCACCCCACATGTCCTTCGGGGGTGGGGTGGGAGTTGTTGGCGGGGGAGGGGGTGTGTTGGGTGGTCACGTGGGTGGCGGCGGTGGGGTGGGGGGCATGTCTGTGCCTACTGATGTGTTCTGTTCTGTGCCTGGCAGACTGAGTCTCCTCTCTTCAACCAGCAAGTACAAAGTCACAGTGGCTGAAGTGCAGAGGAGACTAAGTCCCCCCGAGTGTCTCAATGCATCCCTTTTGGGGGGAGTGCTCAGAAGGTGAGTTGAAGTTCCTTTCCCCAGTTCATCATTTTAGGTAGCAAACTTTTGTTTTTTTTTGCTGAAAAAAACCTGGGTCAGAATTGCGATGTCAAGTACTACTTGTCACTTACACTAGCGTCAAAGGTCACGAAATTCAGCAAAGATTTTACACCCAGTAAAATCAGTTGAAAAAACTTTTCGATTCTGTTGTGATTATGACTTCTTTACAAGTTAGTTTTTTAATCCGCACCACTGAAGATCATAAGGGTTATAGTAGTAGTGGTTTTAAAAGTTATCCAATCTGGAAAAGTAACGTTGTTTTGGATCCATCGTCTTTTCCATCAGAAGATAAGCTCTACAGTTACACAACAACACCAAATTGCCCTGTGCTATGTTTACACCTTGTTTGTTAAAAAAAAGTAGAACAAATGCTAGATAATGAATTAAGTAATTCATAGCAAACAATTGGATTTGTTAGAACATTTAAAAAAGAAAAAAACTGTTCAAAAAAAATCCGAGTTTACCCTAATTTGAACAACGAGACAATTTGAGAAAAAATATAGTTTTTTTTCCAGAAATGAAAAAAAATTTTTGCGTTTGGTTTTTTGGTATTAATTGTGAATTATGATCAAAACTAAATGTTTTCTACCATTTTTGAAAGACTGCAGCCTTTTTTGAGAGATTTGTTGCGGGCGCTTTTTCCTAACAAGAATGGAACAAGTGTAAAAACCACTCGAGGATTCTCTCCCCACAATTGGAGTCCAGCGTCTCTGGCCCCCGGCTGGAAAACTGGGCTTTTCAGGCACCGGGTGACCGGCCAGGGCGCACATGTAGCCCCGAGGGTGGCGTATTGTGTGTGTAAATTGATCACATTGATTGAGTAATAGAATAAATTAGAATATCTCCATTTCGCTTGCAGCCATCTTTTTCCTCTTCAACTATGCGAAGAGCTTGTCAATAGTCTTGATTAAAAGAAATTTCAAACCCCCTCCGTCTCTACTTTCATGTCATCCAATTTTGAGTCACTTTTTTTTCAGATTTTTTTTGCTCAATTATTTAGAAAAATGGTATTAATTTGCTGCAAAAAAATTTCCTGTTTTTAACTAAGTTCCTTCAAATTTTTTTTCTGCATGTTTAATTTTTTTCTCTCATCGTTTAGTTTTTTCAGATTTTTTCGCAGTTTTGATATTCTGAAATTTGGAAAGTGAAATATAGTGTATTATAGTGTATTATTTTTAAATCATTGTGGCTTTTGTCCCTTTTAATACTTTTCTAGGAATGAAGCCCGAAGCATTTTTTAAGAGCTCTTTTCATTTTCTAATGCCGAACCAATCAATCCTTTTAAGCATCTAAGACCAAGGATTTCAACCCTATTTCAAATATTTTTGCGCAACCCTTCCGATAAATTGTGCGCTATCTCAGTTTGTAACGTTGTCCATTTAAGTATTTATCTCTAAGGGTGCAATCTAGTTAATTGTGTAATTCTCTGGGTGTCTTAGTAGTTATTCTAGTAACTCAACTACCGAACAAGATTTCCTATCTTTAAAAGGGGGAAAAGATATACAAATACATGTAGTATATATACTCACCTGTTAGTGGGAGTGTAATATCTCCCCACTTTAGCAGGAATTGAGTTCTATCTACTCTTTATCTGGTTTTTCAGAGGACCACTTAATTTGATCACTTTTCAGCTCCCCCTATCTCCCAGTTTAGCCCCGAGATACAACTTGTCGGCCCCTTTCAATCAAACCAAATTAACTCTATCGCAATTCAACTGGACAAATCTTAAAATCCGCTTCACTCAATTCGTAGATGTAGTCTTCAAGTGTGCTCAAATTAAAAAAATGCTCTCGAATTTTCAAGAGTTTCTGATCATTTTTTTCGAATATATCTTCAACATTTAATTTAGCCAGTTGCTCAAAGATCTTTTTGCCACAATTTGAGCTCTGTCAAAAAGGGCAAAAAAGGTGCATTCTTTGAGAAAACGTTACAGAGCATAAGATTTCACAAAAGGTTGCTCTAGATTGCTCTATATTATACTAGCTAGTATAATCTCAACTGAGAACAATGTTAAAACTTCTAAAATAATCCTTAAAACGTGGTTTGTTTCAGAGCCAAATCCAAAAATGGCGGCAGACTTCTGCGTGAGAAGCTAGAGAAGATAGGACTGAACTTGCCAGCGGGGAGAAGGAAGGCCGCCAACGTGACCCTGCTCACTTCCTTGGTGGAGGGGGAGGCCATCCATCTGGCACGTGACTTCGCTTACATCTGCGACACTGAGTTCCCGGCCAAGCCCCTGGGCGACTGGGTGGCGAGACAGCACTCCTCCGAGCAGACGACGCAGGAGCATCTGAGCAGGAAGAACATGATACTAGCCACAAAGTGAGCCACTCAACCCAGATTTTATTTGAACATTTTTTTTGTTCATTTTAAAAATCTGTTCACGCTTTTACCGTTCATGTTCTTTTTCTGCTCACTTTTTTGGACTTTCTTCTGTTTTTAAGCTGTTTCTGAGCAAGTAAATTGCACTATTATAAGTAGAGATTTTTAAGAAAGTTTCTTTGTTTCAGCTGGATTTTAATTGTATGGTTGTAATATTTAAAATTAGCTCTGTTAAAGTAATTGCTGGTTGTTTGTTGCAGACAAGTTCTCAAAGAGTTCCAGGACATCCTCAGTCAAGACAGGTCCCCCCTTGGAAACACCAGACCCAACCCCATCCTAGACCCCGCCCTGCAGAGACCCCTGACCAACTTCAGTCTCATCACCCACGGGTTTGGCACCCCCACAGTTCTGGGCGCGGTGGGGGCAATCAACAACTACCTGAACGAACAACTCAAATCTCTGGAAAAACACTACGGAAAAACATCGGAATCACCCAACATAAACTGCGAAATTTCCCCCAGTCAGAAAGACGACCCCAAATAAACAAAAACAACCATCAAACCAGTTCTTAGAACTGCTTGAGAAGTGGTGGCCGATAAACAAATTGTTTGCTTTCGACCCAGTCACAGCGAGGAAATCACAGACAGTTTCTTGTTTTGGTGCTAAAACAATTTTTCGACTTTCAGGCAGTTCGACGCTTCGTGCAATAACAATTTATGACAAAACTCTCTAAAAATAGCAATGATTTTACGAATACTTTGTTTCTCCATTTTATTGAGTTTTATCCTTTTGACCTTTACAATGTGACTCTTTTGAGTAGATTATTGATAGTTCATTGACTAGTCATTTAGATGTGTATATATTTATATATTCTTGCACAAATCGTTATCCTTAACTGATCACAGTTCAATTTCATTTTTTCAATCCTTATTTTTTGTTAGCAATAAGAGGAGCTTGATTTATTTTATTGATAAAAGGACTTCTAGCACGACAAAGAAACGACGAAAACAGTTGCTAATATCTTTGCAGTTATTGCACAGCAGAATATTAAAAGCAAAAACTTTTTGTTTTCAAAATTTAGAAATTTTTTCGATATTTTTCTCACTGTTTTTTTTTTCAGTTCACTTTTTCTGTGTCTCAATTGCCAATTTAAATACAAAAATACAAAACAAGCAACTCTAGCTTAAATTGGCATCAAAAAGGCTAGTTTTGAATTAAGAGGTACTGTATGCCGAAACAAAATTGATCAAATTAAACGAAAACAGTCGGATGCTGAGCAAGTAACACAGAATGATCCTCCTCGCGAGTTTTCAAATAAAAAACTACAAACATTTTTTTATATTGTTCCATTCATTGTTTTTATTGTCAACAGTCAGTGAGAATGAATTGCAATCTCAAAACAGAAAACTGAGAAAGAAAAACGTTTTTTTTTAATTAGTGAGCGTTTTCGAAAATGTCAAGGCGCATTTCGCGTAATTGAGGGCAACTAAGAAATCGTCCGGCTCGACAAAAATGCTATTATTACAATTTCACATTTGTAGCACTTACATTTTACCCGTCTAGATTATTGCCGGATTATTTTTTTGTTGCTTGAAAGTGTATGACCAGCATTTTATCTCGCTTTATGCTATTGTGTTTAGTCCTATCCACAGATTTGGCAAGAGTTCCACAGATTTTTCCACACAAAAGCAAAAGTTTTTAAAAAGGTGTCTGGCTGCGTACAAAACACAAAGTCTGATTTCTCATTCTTTCGAGTCTGGACTACGTTATAAAAAAACTGTTTTCTAAGAAACATTCTTTTGGGCATTAAAAAGATTTTGCAACTGAAAAAAAATTAGTTTTCTCCCTGGATGTCTTCCCCAATAGTGTTGTATAAGAAAAACAGACGAGCAGTTTTTTTTTTGCTTGGAGCTCTTCCCTTGTTATTATTGTACAGGCCATATTCGAATCATTTTTTTGGAAAAATTCATTACGAGGCCAAACTGTGCACTGGATAGGCGCACAATTTTGTGTCTGGGTGTTCCTGGATTCTAGAGACAACTTTTAAAACATGCTAAATATTTGTCGGAACAATCAAAGAAACTGAAATAACAAAAAAAGTGAGCGTCCTCGTTGCGGAATACGTTTACAATCCACAAAAGGCACAATTTGGCCTCGTAATGTTCTCTTCTCTCACAATTATTGGGTTATTAAATTGTTTTTGTTTACGATAGGCAGCAGAACTTATCGAGTTTTGAAGATATTTTTCAGTACATTGGCTGGTTTTTTGTTCACGCATTACTGATATAATTTCTTGAAACATGAAACCAAGGATGAAACGAAAAAACTCGGATACTGTGCTAGTAATACAATTTGTACTTATGAGCAATCTTTTCATAGAAAAAAACAATCAATTACACAATTACAAAACACAAACAAAACAATCAATGAGTATTTTTGAAAATATCAAGGCGCATTCGAGTATTCGATGGCAATTAAGAAAATGCTATCCGCACCAGAGTTCCATCGATAATAATCGATTATAATTGAAAATTTTTGTCTAAAATGTTGTCATTATTATTCCTTATTGTTGTAAATTTAGACCACAAAATCGACTATATTGTCATTATAATCAATTTTTTTCGTGAAAACACAATCCATTTTTAACTATTCAATTAACAGTTTTGTGCGAAATCAATTGCAAAGCTTGCAATATTTTTGCATTACTCACGGCCTACTCGCAAACTTTTCGTGTTTTTTTTTTAATTTTTTTTTGTTTTGGGTTTAAGTTTGCTGATAGTATGGTTTTGCTTAATATAAATTTATTGTTTGCAGCTATATAAAAAATACACTTGTTTAACTCTTGGTTTTGTCAAAAAGCTGAAAAATGACCTGTTTTTAAGATAAAAGAGATTATTGTAAGTTTAGGAAAGAACGAAACTAGTTGCTGTTTGCATTGCAGTTTTCAAGTTTGCAGTTTTTTGGATATTTTTTGTGGAATTGGTTTCCAAGGGCTAATTTGTTTCTAATTTAAACAAAAAAATTTATGAAGCGAGCAAAACAGCTTAAACTGGCTTTTTTTCAAAAAAAACAAATTTTAATCAAAGAGGTACAGCATAAACTTTTATTGGAAAATAAAAGTGTCAGATAATGAGCAAGTCATTCAAAATGATCCTATTCAACAATTTTTAGATAAAAAAGGAAATGACAAACACTTGGTCCGAAATTATCCGATTATTTTCAAAATTCATTTACAGTCAGTGAGAATAAGTTGAACTGTTAAGCAATCTGAATTTTCAGTTCTCAAATTAGAAATGAAAATCGAAAAAAAAAATTGTTGTTGAGCGTTTTGATGGCAATTTAAAAACCTCCTGGCTCAACAAAAATGCCACTCATGCAATTTGACAATTGTTAAGCAAAAAGTTAACACTTCAAGACATTTTGTTGATAATTGTAAAATTAGTACTTTCTCGTTCGACTTATTAAAAAGAAAAAGAAATTAAGTTTAAGTGTTTATGACTACCACACCTTATCCTAAGGTGAAAAAAAGTAAAACGAACAAGTCAAAGAGCACATGAATCACCCGGAGAAACGGAGAAATTCAACGCATATTTATATCACTAACTTTCCGTGTACAAATAAAAAGCTTCTTTTTCAAAAAATTGAGATTTTGAAAAGTGCAGCCTGCTTTTTGGTGCTCATTAGTAGTTAAATTGTACAAAAATTAAACAAACAGAAAACTGGATGCACAAAAAATCCATATTCTGAAGTTTATCTCGCTTGCGTGAAACAACTGAGTCTGGACAAAACAATACAATTTTTGTACAAAACATTACAACTTTCTTTGCCATTTTTTGGAAAGATATTGTAAGCGCATAAAAATCAGGTTGCGTCCATGTTCTATTTTTTCTAGAGTTTGTTACCGTTACATGTTGCGTGAAATATGAAAATCTTGATATATTCCACAAAAGTTTGGTTGCAAAAGAAAAAAAACTAATCATACATTTTTCGTACGATGATCTATCATGACTATCTTTTTTTTTAAAAAAAAACACACTTTAATAAAATTTACAGCTAGCTTTTTGCCACTTGAAGGTCAACCCGTAAAATAGTTTTATATTTATGAAACATTCAATTTTGAAGAGAAAACGATTATTCCTCTTCAATGTTTCCAGTTTTGTGGATAACTATCGTAACACGAACATATCATCCTTTTTCTTCGTCTTGACCAACTCTTTTCATCTTGCACGATAAATTAGTCAATGCATCAAACACCAACTGCTATCGTTTCCTTGGCTTAGTTGTCTTACAATCTCAAAGGTTTCAATCATGACACCTGCCAAAAGTCTGTTCATTAATTGTCGCAAAGTTATTTGCTATTAGAATAGGTAGCCACATCCGTTTTTTTCCTGGGCAGCGTACTCCACTATAAAATCTCAGCAACGCTGGTCAAGCTTCGGATCTGTTTTCGATCTGTTTGCTTCCTAACCACTATATGTAGCCATGTCTCTCATCTTCTCCCAAAATAATAGTACCTCTACCGTTTTTCATGTATCCTCGATTTCAATTGCTCATCGATTTGTTTCTAAGTAAGTTCAATGTGAACAGCTCACACTTTTCTGACGTCAACAGACAATCCACATAATCTCGTCACAGGTAACTCAAGATCAATACAGAAGAAAAAAGTAACACAACCAAACAATTTTGAAAACTCCTTCTGAAACCTTGTGATCATTAAATTGTTTCATTTCTGGTGTGAAAACAAAACGTTAGAAACACATTTTTGCCTGAATCATGAACTGAAACAGAAAAAAGTGGTATCTGACAGGCTGTGAGCCACCAAGAGAATAAAATTTGTAGATTTCGATCCCAAAAAAAAACCAGTGAACAATGAGAACTTCCAATTCATATTTTGAGAGATGAAACTTCACGTCATGTGTTTTTGCTCGGCTTAAAAAAACTCGTAAAAAAACTCCAAAGTCTTATTGAATAAACTAGGTATATCGCTATCAAGGACTTCATTTGAACAAACTAGATATATAACTATCAAGGGTCAAAATTTGACAAAGTAGCAACCAAATTTTTCAGTCTTCTCAAAAATTTTCCCTCATTTTTTGTTTTTAGTTTCTCTAGTTGCGTTAATTTTTTTCTCCAGTATATACCTTAGTCTTTTTCCTAGAGCAGTATTTTTTTTGCTATTTGTTCCTTCATCAACTCAAATTGATCTTCTTGTTTGCTTCAAATTCAAAGATTGAAACTCTAACTGGATTTATCACTCAAACACAATGAATTCACTTCAAAAAATTAAGCGTTTGTCGCTGTTTTAACGCTGAAAGTTTATGGGCCCAGTTCCCAAAAATGAGTGGAGTCAGGAGTCAGGGTTGGCTGTCTATTCAAACGAACAAAATGAGATTTGCTGTGGAGTTGTGGCAGAAAAAAGAAACACAACCTGAGATAGACAACTGATCACATAGAGAACTGCGGAAAGAAAGAAGCAGAGCACACAACTTGTAGTGTTAGACAAGCCTGACAATAGAAGCAGTACAACATAACTAGAAGCGAAGAAGCTGCTTTGACGGGAACTTCGACCAAGAAGAATTGAACTCAAGATAGGCAACTGAACTAAAAACGAAAACAGGGCTTTAAGTGGAATCATCAACTGTTTAGGTTTTGACTCAAAGATAGGCAACAAAACTTGAAGCGAAGATAGGCCTTTGAGTATTATCATCAATCACTTAGATTTTAAAGAATCAGATTCAAAAGCAGCATGGAGGGTTAGGGTTAGGGTTAGGGTTAGGGTTAGGAGGGGACCTTAGTTTTTTTTTGTGATTATCGGTACGCAGATCGCTAGCTTCCAAATCAGATTTAGTGAATCAAATAAATGCATAATTATACTTGCAGTCTAAATTGTTGATTAT